TTTTGTTATATTCAAACCAATTTGTAAGACATTGAAATAAATAAAATTTTATACACAAATAAAGGTAATTTTGTGTATATTTATAAGTTTACACACATATTTGGATAAATTTCAACATTTTTAGTGGTTGTTTTGATAAAGTTTGAAAAGAGGGTAAATTTAAAAAGTGGTATTTTTAAAGGGGTATTTTTTAAATTCTCCCAATATCATTCCTATTTTTATCATTAAAAAAATTATTGTTTTATCAAAAAAATACTTAAAAGTACTAAAGAAAATTACTATCAAAATTGATTAATTTAACAATTAATCAACGAATAAATTCAAAAGATATGGATGTATGCTTCTATTGTATGATTTAAATAAATAACATGTAAAAATGTCATAAGCATTACAATTTATTTAATCTATTTATTATAAGTAATAAATAAATTAAAATAATTAAATAAATATACAACAACCCGCGCATATGCGCGGGACATTACCTAGTATAAAATATAATAAACTAAATTTTTTTTCTATGATTATTTGATTTTGTGTTAGTTCAAATAACTTAATAGGAATTGTCACTTACTTACTACAACTTTTATACATATAAGAAGTCCACAAGACTTCCTCCTTAAACGACTAAGTAAGTAGAGTCTTCTCAACAATTTGTTCGGTTTGATCATGATATGGTCTTTTGAGTATTACGCATCTTTGGTTATGATAAAGTGACTGGCCTAACTGCCTTATACTATATATGTGACATAGATCGACCTCTTGCATTACATGTTTTCTCGACTTTGCGATATTTTGGACAAATGAATCCATCCGCCAACCAAACGTCCGAGAAAGTGACCGGACTGCCTTATATATTATCTCGTTTGTTTCTGATTTAACGGTTTCTTTGTATTTACATGTTTTGTCGGCCTTGAGCAAGTGACCATGAGCTTTGTAACCCGGAAACACTATTATTGCTAGCTTTCGGAGCATTTTCGTCTAGATTTGTCCTTTTGTTGTTGTTGATATGGTAGTATGAGACAAAATCACATTCCTTTGAACAGTATATATTAATATGGTAATTAGATTTGCTTTATCAATAGAAAAGTTAAAACTACATATAATTATAATTTGACATAATTAAATATTGAACATGTGTTAAGTCTAGCCACAACATATCCAATTAATTATAATTTTCTAATAGACCACAAAAACATGACCACGCAAGAAAACAAATGTTTTACAACAAGACTGTAGTTGGTCATTAATTTAATGGAGACTGTTTCACATGTCTGTCTTTTCCCATCAAGGTCCCAAGAACTAATAAATACCAATTTGACAGAGAGAGAGAGGCTCAAAAGAAAGAAGAAGAACAAAACTAAAAATGGCTCCGGGAAGATTATGTAACAGAGACGGCTGGATCTTGACAGCAATGGTTGCCACAGAGTTCTCTAACGTCGGAGTAAACACTCTGGTCAAAGCAGCAACATCCAAAGGACTTAGCCCATTTGTTGTTCTTGTCTACTCCTACACTTTTGGATCTCTTCTTCTTATTCCTCTTACCTTCTTCTCCTTAAGGTTCTTTTTCCCATTCTCATTACTCTGTGTCAAGTTCTTGATTAAGTAATTGCTCTTTTATATATTTGACTCATCTCTACAGATCATCAAGATCTCTCCCTCCCTTGACGTTTTCGATCCTATGCAACATGGGAATTCTTGGTCTACTTGCGTAAGTAACTTTATTTAGTAGCATTTGAATCCATACATGTTTTTCATATATTACTTACTTTGTTCATGGAAGGCATTTAATTTACTTAGATTTTGATAATTTGTCTTCATAAAAAGAACAGAAGTGCGTTCCAAATCGCAGGCTACAATGGGATAAAATACAGCTCGCCAACGTTATCTTCGGCCATGAGCAATGTCAATCCTGCTTTTACCTTCATCCTCGCCGTTGTTTTTAGGTAAAATTCTCAATTTTTTTTTTTTTTAATTATCAGGAGGTTCGGGTCTTAGGCCGTAATCCTCTTAGGGTCCGGGGAAAACTGGGTGAAAGCTCCTGTGCAAATGGAAATATCTAGTGATTTTGCTTTAGCTTTCCAAATAGAAATTCCCTAATTATATCCCAAATAGTTAGTTAGTAGAAAACATTTAGCTTTCTAAAAAGAAAAAAAATTATAAGGTTGGTGCCTTATGCTTTAAGGTAGTTGTCGATTCTCTTAAATGTTGTCCAAAAAAGTCTCACATGTTGTCCCAAAAAAAAAAAAGAAAAAAAAGTTAGTCTCACATATAGGTATGATCATCATGTCCAGAATAATCTCTCCAATCATCATTTCATTAGCGGCACGTTTTCTCACTGCGAGACTTTGCGTTGAGTCCACGGGATTAGATTGGTTTCTACATTGCGTACAAGTTTTCAATATTACTCAAAACGTGTTGACAAAGCATCACTCAAAACGTGTGGAAGCATGGAACGCAAGCTGACTCCTCATGTTTTGAATGGTGTGTAGGAAAGACCTAAAGAGGCACGAACATAGTTCCGTTTTACCTTTTAAATATTTTTAACTGTTGTGTCCAAAGAAAAGTACAGTACTTGTTTCTATTTACTAACGTGCACCTTTTTTTTTGTGAAGAATGGAGAATATATCTCTAAAGAAAAAGAGTAGTGTAGCTAAAGTGTTGGGAACATTAGTGTCTATAATAGGTGCACTTGTGGTGACTCTTTACCACGGTCCAATGTTAATGTCGTCTTCACATTCCGATTGGGTCATTGGCGGTGGCCTTCTTGCTCTTCAGTACATCCTTGTCTCCGTCTCTTACCTTGTTATGGTATATACATACAAGATAGCTTTATAGCCAAAATATCTTTATAAGATAACTCAAAACTCGGGTAATCATATTATAGGCTCACACAATGAGCCGGTATCCATCTGCGGTCGTTGTGACGCTCGTACACAATGTTTGCATTTCTGTTGTGTGTGCATTCGTTAGTCTTTTGGTGGAGAAGGACGATCCCAAGGCATGGATCATAAGATATGACATAACTTTGATTAGCGTTGTAGCAACGGTATTTACAAAACTTTGCAATAACCATTGGTTTTAAAATTTATTGGTTTTTCTTGGTCTTGATGATATGTGGAACATTTTATCATAGGGTACTTTGAATTCGGGTTACTATGTTATACATTCGTGGGCTGTGAGCCATAAAGGACCTGTGTATCTGTCGATGTTCAAACCATTATCCATATTGATCGCGGCCGCATCAACTTTCATTTTCCTCGGCGAATCACTCTACCTTGGAAGGTATATATAGCACAAAACTTACATTAGTGTGTGTTCATGATATTAGCTAATTTTCTCAAAACTCATTTCTCAATATATATATTCTCCTCTTTTTATGGTTTGATTACACAGTGTGATGGGAGGGATATTGATATCCATAGGATTTTACATGGTGTTGTGGGGTAAAGCCAAAGAAGACAACGTGGACAATTTAGGAACCATAGAGTCGTCTCCTTCACACAAAACTCCTCTATTGGTTAATTAAAAGCATTTAATTTCAAAATTCACATTAATTTTTAATAAGTGATGTTTTATAAAGATCGATGATATGGTTTTACTCATTTTACAACTTTTCAATCATATATATATGAACAATGTAGTACCACCGAAAGTCATCCTTTTTTATTTCTTCCAAATGTATTAAGAAAAGTTTAACGAGAGAAAGCATCGACAAAACCGAAGACGTGTATATTGTTTGTTATAGATTTTTGTCTTCTAATTATGTTCGTATTACCAATACATAAATGTAACATATCATTTGATAGTAAACTTATGTATTTTTAGTACACAACCATAAAGACTTCAAGATTGACAAGAAAACAAAACATTCTTCCATTTCTCTCTTTTCTATATATGTATTCTTGTTCTTCTATCCTTAGTTATTGAAAAAATAACAGAACTTTACTGGTTTGGAATCCGTTGCTGAGACAAGTAAGAATGGTATCATCAAAATCTACTAAGCCAATTATTTCTCATTATAAGATGGGTTTTTGGTTATGATCATTCAATTGATGATCGTGATCTTCACAGCAATATTGTCTAAAACCATTCTGGCTCCAATATATTGGTCATAAGGCAAACATTTTACAATAAAGTCATCTTAACACTGGTGTATCGATCATTTTCCTGAAATCCATCGTTGTTTCGACATAAAAGAATTTTTTCAGGCCATATAATATTTTGGCAAGTGAATAACGATCTAGAGAACGGAGCCGAATCTGAAACTATCCTTAATTTTGATCTATCGTACGTCCGAGACATTCGAGTACAATTCTTTTCTTAAGAGTATTTAAGGGCTTGATTCGAGATTTAGTTGCAGTACGAGGTTGTCTAGGTTTTGTGGAAATATACATATTCCAAACCATGCCTAAGATTGTTGTTTGGACCGCAAGCAATGAAAAATTTTGGAGCAAATTTACATCTGAAATTTTTTTGAATTCGATGACTTTACGTCTCGAAGAATCGACATCGCTTTACTTGGGATGCATAAGATAAAAATGAATGGAAAGTGAACTATGTAGGACACAAGTGATGTGATGCTATTTTGGTGTTCATAAGCCCTATCATTACTTGTAAATATGCATGTATCATGTAGTTTAAGGTATTTTGCATTTAGAGTCATAGGATTGTATATACATTGCGTTTGGTGCTGATTTAGATAATAATAAAAAAAATGGAAAATGGAGCTAAAGAGGCAAAAAAGAAGATTTGAATCACAAAAAGATTTCGGTTTAATCAATTTGAGATACCTAATAAATGGGTATTTCTACGATGGAGTTGCCTCCAGTAGTCAATTTTGGAGTTATTACTTATTTATGGAGCCATTAGAAAGATGGTCCATGTCTTAATTATATATATACCACAAGTCACGAGAGGGTAAACAATAACTTAGTTTTATCTTCTCTTCTAATATCTTAGACTCTTTCATTGGTGTTGTCAGCTCAGGGACCTCAATTTATTTGGAGATGGTCATCTTGTCTAATTTATAACTAAGTTCTGAAATTTACTGATAACTAGATTAAGACCCGTATCGGACAGGTTAAATAAATTTAAAATTAAAACTTTATAGTAAGAAAATGATATCTGAAGTTTTTATAAAAAAGATAGTGATATTTTTGTTAGTAATTAGTTTTATATTGTGTAAAGAAACTAATTTACGTATACTTATTTAAAAGTCGTTATTAAATATTCATTATAAAAATCTAGTAATGTTACATTGTCGGTCACCAAAAATTTAGCGAGGTATTCACCCATATTAATATTATTGACAAAACAATTAAAAGAATATTTTAGCAATTATCCCCTAAAACATGATTATACCAATTTTCTAAAAAAATTTATTTTCTGACTGACAATATTTTGTAAACAATTCTCGCATATTCTTGTGATTACGCAATTTATTCTATTTCTTATAATTAGTTAATTATTACTCAATTGGATGGTAAATTTCTTATAAATTAACATCAAGCCATAATAAAAATATTTTCTAAAATAATCATAAAAAAATTTTTAACGTAAATCCATAATCTCTCTTAATCGTAATATTTATATCCTAATTTTCATTTATAAATCCAAACCGATAAGTAACTTTGTTTAATTGTAAAATATATACCTTACTCATCCTTTATAAGCCCAAATCAACATATAATATCGTTTAATTATGAATACTAAACCATAATCCTCGTTTATAAACTCAAGCTAACATATAACCCATTTAATTGTACTCCTCCTTTATAAACCCAAATAGACGTATAATCTCGTTTACTTGTAAAATGTAAACCATGACCCTAATTTATCAACCCAAACTAACATATATCTCGTTTAACACACAACCCTAATCTCTATGATAAACTCAAACCGAGATAACCAAAATTAGGTTAATATTTCATCTGTTAATAAAAAAATTTGAATATATTTTTATAATACTTATTTTATATAAATTCTTTTTCTGATAGGGCTATCAATTTTTCTATTTTTAACTAGATATTTACAAAATTAAATTTGTGGCGGCATCTTACATTTACTTGAAACATGTCGCAATCACACGATTTAGTAAAATTCAAGCTTTATATAATAAGATGTTTTAAATGTGTGTCTAATATAAGAGTATCTCAATTTCATCAAATTTCGTTCTTATTATTATTCAGTTTGAAAATTTAAATATCAATTGTAAACCATTTCTTCAACAACTTCTTCAACAACCACCAAAAAAAAAGACTTTCTGGTCAACATAATTGAGTACTGCGTATCTTCGGTAAATGATAAAGTGTCTGGACTCTGGACTGCCTTATATTATGTGACATAGAAGAACTCTTGCATAGTGGCATTGCATGTTTTGTCGACTTTGAGATGTTTTGGACAATGATCCATCCGCCAAAAGACCGAGAAGTAACCATAAGATTTGTTACTGAAAAACCTAATTTATATGACTGCTAGCTTTCGGAACATTCTCAACAAAGTCAACCAAACACATTCCTTTGAAATATTAATATGGTAATTAGATTTGCTTATCAACAGTAAAAGTAAAACTTAATATAATTTAATTTGTTTTATTCAAAAATTATTAGAAAATGTAATAATTAAAATATTGATCATGTGTTAGGTACTTAAATCTAGCCACAGCCATGATCCATTTAATTAGAATTTTGAGTTTTCTAATAGACCATGCACAAACACAAAGACCAAGCAACACATATTTTTCGACCAAACTAAAAATTACAAGAAGACAGTAGTTTAGTCATTAGTTTGATGGAGACTGTTTCACCTGTCTGTCTTTTCCCATTCAATGTCCCAAGAACTAATAAATACCAATTTGAGAGAGAGAGAGAGAGATGCTTAAAAGAAAGAAGAAACGAAGAACAAAACTAAAAATGGCTCCGGGAAGATTATGTAACAGAGACATCTGGATCTTGACGGCAATGGTTGCCACAGAGTTCTCTAACGTTGGAGTAAACACTCTGGTCAAAGCAACAACTTCCAGAGGAGTTAGCCCATTTGTGATTCTTGTCTATTCCTACACTTTTGGATCTCTTCTTCTTGTTCCTCTTGCCTTCTTCTCCTTGAGGTTCTTTTGCCCATTCTCACGACTCTGTTTTCAAGTTCTTGATATTAAGTAATTGCTCTTACATGTATAGCTTCATCTCTACAGATCATCAAGATCTCTCCCTCCGTTGACGTTTTCAACCCTATGCAACATGGGAATCCTTGGTCTACTTGCGTAAGTAACTTTAATTAGTAACGTTTTCAATCCATTGCAACATCTTTTCTTGGGTTCAAAAGCCAATTGTTTATGTAAGGTATTCTACTTACACTTTGATAATTTGTTTTCATAAAAAGAACAGAAGTGCGTCTCAAATCGCAGGCTACAACGGGATTAAATACAGCTCGCCGACGTTATCTTCGGCAATGAGCAATGTCAATCCTGCTTTTACCTTTATCCTCGCAGTTATATTCCGGTAAAATCTAGTTTCCCTTATTACTGTTTATCCCAAATAGTTAGGTAGTAGAAAACATTTAGCTTTCTAAAAATGAGTAAAATTATTAGAAATCCGACAGGAGTTATCAATGTAGCTAATCCCTCGCCTTCATGCTTTAAGGAATCCGACAGGAGTTGTCAATGTAGTTAGTTACTTTGTTGATTCGTTCAAATGTATAGACAAAGAAAGAAAAAAAGTTAGCCTCGCCTAGGTATGATGTCCAAATAATCTCTCCAATCATCATTTCATTAGGACTTGCGTTGTATCCACAGGATCAGATTAGTTTCTACAATGCGTACAAGTTTTTAATAGTATTATTTTGTAATTGTATCCTAATTTTAAGTAGAAATTTGAATTCTACACCAACTTTTTTAAATATTTGAAATGTATATTATATATGGTTAAAATGACTATTTCACCCTTAATTAATAACTAAAAATTAATAATACAAAAACCAAATAACAAAATTAATATATTTTACAATATTATTAAAAATATATTTTCTTAGAAATTAATTTATTATGTTCGTATTTAAAAAAAAATATTCTAGATATTTACTATAGATAATATTAGTTAGTATTACTCAAAACATTTTGGAAACATTGGACGCAATTTTTACTAACTTGCACTTTTTTTTGGCGAAGAATGGAGAATATATATCTAAAGAAAAAGAGTAGTGTAGCCAAAGTGTTGGGAGCAATAGTGTCTATAATAGGTGCACTTGTGGTGACACTTTACCATGGTCCAATGTTAATGTCTTCACACTCCGATTGGGTCATCGGCGGTGGCCTTCTTGCACTTCAATACATCCTTGCCTCCGTCTCTAACCTTGTTATGGTATATATATACACTTCAAAATAAATAAATAAATACAATTTACAAGATATTGTTCTAACCAAAATATCATTGAAATAGTCTAAGTTTGGTCTAATATATGATAACTCAAAACTTGGGTAATCATATAGGCTCACACAATGAGCCGGTATCCATCAGCGGTCGTTGTGACACTCGTACACAATGTTTGCATTGCTGTTGTATGTGCATTTGTTAGTCTTTTGGTGGAGAAGGACAATCCTAAGGCATGGATCATAAGATCTGACATAACTTTGGTTAGCGTTATAGCAACGGTATTTACAATATTTTGGCAATAACTTATGGTTTTCATTAGATGTTTGTTAAAATTTATTCGTTTTTCTTAAGATTTATGCCATATTGAACATTTTTCGTAGGGGATTTTGAATTCGGGATACTATGTTATACATTTGTGGGCTGTGAGACATAAGGGACCTGTGTATCTGTCGATGTTCAAACCGTTATCCATATTGATCGCGGCCGCATTAACTTTCATTTTCCTCGGCGAGTCGCTCTACCTTGGAAGGTATCTTATATAATATAACAAGGTTTTTTCTAACTTTTCTCCACGTTACGACATTTGGCGCTCTCTATTGATGACATGTGTCATCTTTTATTTTTAATTAATTCTTTTCATTTTTATTTTTAACTAAAACATTTATGGCAATTTTAATTCCAAATAACCATATAATTAGGTAAAAATTAAAATAAAATTATAATGAAAAAATTATTATGAGTAAAATTATTAATTGGGATCCAAAATTCATTTCTGTAAAGCAAAAGATATAACTAAAGTTTTATAACAAAATCACATATTGCATATAATATATCACATATATATGTATATATGATTTACTATCACATAATTAAAACATCTATTTTACATAATTTTCTTACATTTTATTTAAATTTTCATCCATCATATTTATTTTATTATAAAATACTCTGTTCTTTTTACACTTTAATGATGGAAGAAACTTATAAAATGTATGCAAATTGAGTAAAATAGATGTTTTAATTATTTGATAGTAAATCAACAATTGTGGGAGTTAATTCTTATTAATTTTGTGTTGAATAAAATTGAGTAGAGAAATATAGTTAATGCAAATTTTTATAATTTCAGTTCTTATATTAAAGTGTGAGTTGAATGTAGAGATCTAATTAATTGTGTTTTAATTGAATATATACTTTTCAGTTTTAAAATTAAAGTGAGAGATATATATATATATGATTAATTGTGTTTTATATGTGGATTGTTTCACTATCTTCTTATTGGTCTATTTTTCTATAAAATGTTTTTTTTGAAATTATGTTTTCAACTAAACCAAAAATAAAACACATTTAGTTTTATATATATTAAACTGACACTTTAATATAAAACTATAGAAAAATATATTTTAATTAAGCCATAAATAAAAAAAATTGATCATCTATATTTATATTCAATTAAAACACAATTAATTATATACATTTAACTCACACTTTAATATAAAAACTGAAATAATATAAATTTTCATTCACTATATTTTTCTACTAAATTTTAGTCAACACTCAATAAATTAGAATTAACTCTTACAATTTTTTCTTCTAAATTGTAACTCTCATCACTTCTCATCTTATAAATACTCATTTTTTCATTCTCTCATTCCCTCCTCCTCTTCCACTTTATCTCAAATCTTCTATAATTTAGTTTGTTTTTTTCTGTTTTTTTTTTGGTTGTTTGTTGTTGTATGAGTTGAAAAATAAATTTAATTTGCATCGTAAAAGTTTAATCTAAATTTTAATTTTAGACACTATATGATATATATTTACATTGTTTTATATGACACTATTTCATCTCTATTGTCTATTTTAGATTACCATCTTATAATTAATCTCTCTCTCTCTCTCTCTCTCTCTCTCATTCTCTTTCACTACATTCATGTATCTTAAATATTTTTCTATTTTTGTGTTGTTATATATATTGAAAATCAATAAAACTATCATTTTAAGAATTTGATCTTAATTTATTTTAGAAAGTATGATATATATCAAACATAGTTTCAATTTTTTTTTCTAATGCCTAATTATGCATACTTTTTCAATTTTTATTTCTAATGCCTTATTATACATACGTTTTCATACTTATGAGTATGAATGAAGAAAGTATGATATAACACATATGTAAATTAAAGTTTTGATTGTTATATAAATAAAAGTTGCAATTTAAACCTTTAACACATAACTTCTTCTATTTTTTAAAAATCTCAAATAATATTTTGTAATTCATTTCAATATATGTATAATTATATTTAGTTTG